TGTGGTTTGTCTGTTGGAGTGTGCTGCTGGGATCTTCCAGTGTTTAGAAGTTCAAACAGACAGCTGAACCTGAGATAAAAGCTATTCAGGCTCCCAAATACAGCTCAGAATGAGTCTACGTGTCAGAGCTGTGGCTTAGTAGATTTCACTGCGAGCTGTGGTGCTAATATTGGCAATACGAGTTTGAATCTGGCTCGCAACATTTCCTAAACCTGTTTCCCCCAACATTTTCCGTCCTCTCTCTGTGTTATCATTTCAGCAAAAAATGTCATAACAGAATGTGTCTACGTGTCAGGGCCGTGGCTTAGTTGTTATCACTGTGAGCTGCGGTGCTCATAACAGCAACGGGAGTTCGAATCTGGCTTGCAACATTTCCTAATCCTGTTTCCTCCAAATTTTCTGTCCTCTCTGTTATTATTTCAAGAAAAAATGTCAAAAGCAGAATGTTTCTAAGTGTCAAAGCTGTGGTTGTTCACTGTGAGCTGCGGTGCTCATAAGGGCAACAGGGGTTTGAATCTGTCTCGCAACATTTCATAATCCTAGCTGGACATCAGATAAAAGCCAAAAGGATTCAGGCTTCTGAATATGTCTCAGAATGAGTGTATGTGTCAGAGCCGTGGTTTAGTAGTTATTTATGTAAGCTGTGACACTCAAAAAAAAAAAACAGTTAGAGTTCGAGTCTGGCTCGCAACATTTCCTAATCCTGTTTCTTCCAACATTTTCTGTCCTTTCCCTGTTATCATTTCATAAAAAAAAATTCAAAAAGCAAAAAGTGTATACGTGTCAGATACATGGCTTAGCAGTTATTGTTGTGAGCTGTGTGCTCAAAAGGGCAATTGGAGTTTGAATATGGCTCGCCACATGTCCTATTCCTGTTTTCCCCATAATTTCCTATCCGCTCTCTGTTATCATTTCAATAAAGAAATATCAAAAGCAGAATGTGTCTTTGTGTCACAGCCATTGCTTAGTAGTTATTACTATGAGCTGTGATGCCCATAAGAGCAGTGGCAGTTCGAATCTGGCTTGCAACATTTCACAATCCTAGCTGGACATCAGATAAAAGTAAATGAGTATTCAGGCTCGCAAATATGGCTCAGAATGTGTCTAAATGTCAGAGCTTTGGCTTAGTAGTTACCACCATAATCTGTGGTACTCATAAGGGCAAAATGAGTTTGAATCTGGCTCGCAACATTTCATAATCCTAGCTGGACGTAAGAAAAAAGACAATGAGGATTCAGGCTCCAAATTATATTGCTCAGAATGTGTCGATGTGTCAGAGCTGTGGCTTAGGTTCTCATAATGGTTCAAATCTGGCTCACAACATTTCCTAATAGTGTTTCCCCCATCATTTCCTGTCCTCTCCTGTTATAATTTTATCAAAAACTGTCAAAGGCAGTCACAACACAAACTAATGGTTTCCCCCCAACACAACTCCCGTCTCCCATTGGTCAGTCAAACAGGTAGAACTGCTCCTATATAATCTATAATAAATAGATTTATTATAGATATAATATATAATCTACAGTGGGTACGGAAAGTATTCAGACCCGCTGTGTGTACATTAATGAGGAAAAAAAATTAACTTAAATGATTTTAGCAAATGGCTGCAATATAACAAAGAGTGAAAAATTGAAGGGGGTCTGAATACTTTCCGTACCCACTGTATATATCAATCAAAAGTATTGCTCATCAGTACTTCCTATCAAAGCAAAGGGTGAACTTCTTACTTCACCCAACAGGTAAGCTTTAAGGGTAAATCTCATGAAACCTGTCACCCCAAAATCAAAAGAAGAAAATAATATTTTGCTCAAATAAATTCAGCTTGGGAAAATTATAGTATAAAAAAAAAATCACTGCATTACAGCAATATGTAAACTTTATTTGATCCATATATAACCTTTATATGTACTTAATTGTCATAAAAAATAATGTAATAATGCAAAATATCAATGATCCTACAAAAGACTTTAGTGTGTCTATACAAAAAAATATATATATATTTATTTTTTCTTTCTTTATTCTTTATTTTTTCTTTACTAAATGAATTGAAAGTGAATATATTAAAAAGGCTAAAATAAGCCAAAAAAAAAAAGACTGTTGCTAAGATTTGAGTTGAGATGCAATCCTCCATGACGCTTAGCAGTCAGGAATGTGAGTGAATGTTTATGAGGTCTGTTTTGAAGAAACTGCACATCTGCATAAGGATGAATTTGTTGACGGGTTGAGAAGATAATTTATCAAAAGCCCTGATTTATTTCCAGAATCCTTTAAAGCAATAGTTGAAAAGCAATGAAAGTCATCATTTATTCACCCTTATGTTGTTCCAAGCTCTGTTCAACTTTGTCCGATTTGTGAAGAAATCTTTTGAGTCAGATCTTTTCAAGAGCGATGGGCAGTACAGTTGTAAAACTTCTGTGCTTCTGTCTCAAATGTGAAGCACACTGCATCAAAATGTATATAATAAAATGTAAAACATATATTGGAGCTTGTGTTACCACGTCACCAAGGGAGGGCGGGCGATGCATAAAACATCACTAAAACACTGTTAACTAAATATTTGTGATCAACCTCAAGATGCCACTGAGGTGTCAATTTGCTATGTATTGAAGCTTTGAATCGTTGTTTGAGTTCACAAAACCACCTGACTGATTCGTTCTCAAATCAAACTGATTCAGTTCCTGAGGTTCGATGATCCAGTTGCAGTGGTTAACAGCCTACTAGATGCATCTGCATGCTAAATTCTCCTTTTCTGTTCCACAAAGGAAAGTCAGTTTTGAATGACATGAGGCTGTGTAAATGATTTCATTTTTGTGTGAACTATCACTTTAACAATTACAAAATGCCTTATCAACACAACTTTAGCTTAGCTGTTATCGCCCTTTTAGGTGAAAAACAGTGTGTAGGTGGGGTTTTACAAGCTGTTTGACTAGTCATGGATCTCTGAGAAACAAGCAAAAGGGCGTCATGTGAACTTTTCTTCTGCTCTTACAAAACAAATCATCTGGAAGAGCTTCTGAAGTGTCAGACACTAAAACAACAAAAATATTAAGGTGTTACTGTCGTTATTACAGCTATTCTAAGGTTAAGTGTAATTTCTATAGTAAAGATAATGACTCTTTTTAAACAGGTTTCCCCAGCACTCCTCCCGTCTACCATTGGTCACAACAAACAGATAGCCCCGCCCCCAAACCTACGCCATTGGTTGAGCCACTGATGCTGTTGCTGGGCAGGTCGGGATGTTCAAACAAACAAACCAATGTTTTGATAGCTCCACAAAATAAACCTACTCCTACTAGTATCTGCATATTAAACTGGGATAAGAGAAAATATTTTAACATCGAAACTAAAGTAACTGAAACACCACATGATATTGTCCTTGGGTCCAAAGAATAGGGTAAACCACTAGTGCACCAAATACACAAAATAATGTTCTTTTTAGCAGCATCATATGACCCCTTTAATGGAAAAAGTAGGCAATCATTCACTACCTCCTCAGGCCCCAAAGCATCAATTGGCCGAAAACATCTGAAGCATTGAAGAGTATAAGCAATAAGTGTGTGTTCATGTGTACCGACATGAAAGTCGTGTGGTTAAAAGTAGCATGTGCACTACATTTGTATACATCCAGCAGCCTGATGTACCTGCATTTACCCAGGCATAATCTGTGTAATGATTTCCACACTCCAGAAATACCCCAGACCTCCGTTTAGATTAGGTTTGTAGTACAAAACCACTTAATTTCTTAACATGCCGTGTTTACAAGGCCTTGAAATTCTCATGGGTGGCAATGACATTAAAAGGCTTGAAGGAAAAATAGAAGATTGTGAGCAGAAGTGTGGGTGTAACTGATTAAAGCGTGGCCAGCGCTCTACAAAGGAGAACAGCAGTTTACCCTCTCTCTTTATGAAAAGGAGGAAGCAATAAATAATCGGTCGGGACAAGCTATTCAAAACATTGGCATCCCCTCTTTATTGGTGAACTCTTTGCTTTTGGCCAGTTTGGTCTGGAAGTCTTTCATGAACTCTGTGAAACTGATGGGAACGCTTCTCTCGGTCCCAGATTTAATCGCATACATGGTCTTTTTTAAAAACAACTCTTGAGTATAAGGGTCTAAATATATCTGCATATTAATCTGACTGTGGTAGGTGCTGAACGGAAAGAATTCCAGAATTAAAGGGTTAGTTCAGCCAAAAATGAAAAGTCTGTCATTAATTACTCACTCTCGTGTTGTTCGAAACCCGTAAGACCTTCGTTCATCTTCGGAACACAATTTAAGATATTTTTGATGAAATCTGAGGGCTCTCTGATCCTCCCATAGACAGCAAGGTAACTACCACGTTCAAGGTCCAGAAAAGTACCAAGATGATCGACAAAGTAGTCCGTGTGACATCAGTGGTTCAACTGTAAAGTTACGAAGCTATGAGAATACTTTTTTGCGTAAAGAAAACAAAAATAACGACTTTATTTGCGCCACCACACGCTCACGTCATGATACTGTCGTGAACGCGCGTCCACAAGTGACGCAGTAGACGAAAATGTGGAATAAATTCGGTATTTTTGTTTTCTTTGCACAAAAAAGTATTCTCGTAGCTTCATAACTTTACAGTTGAACCACTGATGTCACACGGACTACTTTGTCGATCATCTTGGTACTTTTCTGGACCTTGAACGTGGTAGTTACCTTGCTGTCTATGGGAGGGTCAGAGAGCCCTCAGATTTCATCAAAAATATCTTAAATTGTGTTACGAAGATGAACGAAGGTCTTACGGGTTTCGAACAACACGAGGGTGAGTAATTAATGACAGAATTTTCAGTTTTGGGTGAACTAACTCTTTAAGCTCAAAGGGAACCAATTCAAAGGAACAGAGTGCTTCGGATATTATTTCTTGATTTAAGCTGTAATCGTTTTAGGAAATTAAAAATACAAGTTTTATACGTGCACCAATGTTTCAAATTAGGCTAAAAGAAAAAATAAGTAACCTAGAGCAGAACTGGCAAACCTTGGATAGCTCTTGTCCAGCATCACACTGCCGGCAGGGAATACAGTTTCCAAACGTATCCTTGTATTCCTGCTCCCTGCAATCTCTTCTCTCCTCTGCCATAACTGCAATCTGTGAGGAGCATGAAACATGATTAATTATTCCATAATATCATTGGAGGTTTACCAAATTGGAGTGCAAGTAAAAGGTAGTGTAAATGATAGTGTACAGTCATTTAGAGCAAATCTCAGAATATCATTTCTAGCAAAAGGTGTTAATATGAACGAAACATACCATAACACACAGTGGAAGGACAAGTATCCACTGAAGAGGAAAACTGGAGAGGATCAGTACCTGGGGCATTGTGAAAGGTCTTTCCCACATACACTGTGAAAGCACAAATCCTTTGATGAATGATTAATGGAGGACACTATTTGCATTATCTTTCAAAACGGTGTGAACACCAAGCAAACAATGACTACTATTATAAATAAATACCCTTCTGTGCGTTTTTAATGTTCATAATAAAGCATAATAAAAAGGCATAATCTGTAGATGTTTAATTTTTAAAGAGGTTTAACACTGACTGAGTTGGAAGAAAAGTCCTTCTATATGATTTTATTTAGCTGGAAGTATCAGCCAATTCAGATAATTAACAACATACAGATGCCGATCATTAAAAATATAGTAATACTGGCCAATAATGATCTATCAGACTTAATAATAACATGATAATTTACACACACACTAGGGCTGTGCAATATATAGAAATTATCGAAATATCGCAAATGTACATATCGCAATATGCATATTGCTACAGCTTGCAATATTTGGGGCCATGAACAAAAGACAAAGAGAAAATCACTCACTGCTTTTACCTAAATAACTTTTGTAGCTTAAATAAGAATCCGTGCATATTGAAATCAAAGAGTAAATACTAAGCAGTGTTTTATTTTTCCTAAACTCATGTTAAAATGATTACACTAATGTTAAAATTAGTGCTCGAGTAAAACACATACCGTTCACTTTCAGAAGTTGTTGTAGGGGAGCTTTCTTATTAGAATCAGAACCAGAATGAGCTTTATTCACCACTTAAGTGTGCGCAAACACAAGGAATTTGTTGTGGTTTTACAGGAACTCTTGGTACATACATACATACAAATAACCATATATATATGACAAGATAGATATAGAAGTTCACAGAACTGACTCAGCAACAGCTGAGTAAAACTGTTTCATCTGAGCATGTGGCACTTTAAGCATTATCGTATCGCATATCGAATATCGCATTATTTAATGAGTTATCGCATATCACATTTTTCTTCAATATATATATATATATATATATGCAAAAAACATAAGAACATTGCACATTTATATATTATATGTAAACAACTATATATTGACATATTAACTGTATATATAACTGTTTATTAAAACTGGCTAAATCAGAAAAATTATAACCCTCCTTCAAGAAAAAAAAAAAAGAAAAACTGTAATTTGGCCGATAATTATTAACTTGCCAGTTATATACTTGATATCAGAGAGAGAGAGAGAGAGAGAGAGAGCGAGAGAGAGAGAGAGAGAGAGAGAGAGAGAGATCTATTACTATTGTTGTTGTTGTTGTTATTCATGTAATACTACATTGCGTTGTGTACATGTTGAAACCAGGCTTCAAAACATAATAATGCATAGTATAAAACATAGCCTAAATAACTTTTTCTGTTTGAACTTTTTGACCTGACATAAAAAAGAGTGTAATGGACGAATGAAATAGGTCCCTTAAATTAATTATAAGCTATAGCTATGCATGCACTGTGTGTGTGTGTGTGTGTGTGTGTGTGTGTGTGTGTGTTTCGTGTAGTTTTCCTTAAGGTACTGATTTTTGGATTCATATTATGTGCGGTCAAAGCAGCGCTGCAACTGTGTGCAACACTTTCTTACCGATAATGAGTCGCTCGTGAGATTGCCGTCTCCTACGGAAAGCTGCTCGGGATGTGAACCAGTGTGCTCGCCGCTGAGGTCTGAACCCGTCCCGTGTCCAGCTCTGAAGTAAGAGCTCAGATGAAAGCCTGCGGTCTGATGCCTGTAATCTGATCTACCATCAGCATGCACATCAAAGCTTCAGACACGTCCTGGACAAAAGCGCTTTAAACGAGCCTGTTTATTCACTTACACCCCTCCATATGTTAATCCGAATATCTGCAAATGCACAAACTCCGACATGAAAACAAGGACGATCTAACTGCATGACCCCGGGGCAGGCATGGGTTTAAAGCAACAGCTCGGTTTTGTGTGATCTGATCTGCTGCGCGTGTTTGATACAGAATTCCCTTTCATCGAGTGACGTCACCTGACGAGCAGCGATTGGCTGGATTATCTGCAAGCAGAGACTTTTCACATCGAGTTCGATTTCTTGAAATCAAATCTCTTACATTCACTGGCTCCAAAAAAAAAAGCATTTTAACAATGGAGTCACACTTACATAAGAATGCCATTAGATAACAGAATACCAAACCAGTGGCATTTATTTAAATAAATAAATAAAGCACAAGCAGTTTTCAAGAAAAAAAAAACATTTAATAAAAAGAAGTTTGTGGCCATTAAATTAGATAACAGAATACCAAACCAGTGGCATTTATTTGTTTAAATAAATAAATCACAAGCAGTTTAAGAAAAAAAAATTTTTTAATAAAAATACGTTTTTGCTTTTTGTCTGGACGTAATGAATGTTCAATTAAATGCTGTAGTACTTTCAATGTTCAAAGATGTACTAGTACTGGGGGCCCTCTGCTGGTGTGCTAAAGCTAAACCACATGTGGTTCTCAGTTGTGTGCTGTCATCTGGGCCATATACAGTACCACAATACGAATGGTAGACCAAAAGAAACAGATAGCAAAACATATCTGGTGTGGCCTATAGTGTTCAGACATGTCATATCTAGGCAGATGTGAAAGCTTGCATCCACATTTGGCACAAACGTTCTTGATGTCTGGGATGTTAATACAATGAACGTGATCAATGTTAAGGAAAATATAAGATTTTGAGTCAAAAGTCCAATTGCTAAAATGCATTCATCATTTAATATTTTGTACTAATGTTGGGTAACAACTGAACACAATAAAACCACACTAATGTACACTCAGACATGAGTCATCTTTTGATGAAGGTAGATTTTAAATAAAATCTGAATTGTTTTCTCAGGACAAAAGTATTACTACATGCGAGGCTGTATTTATTTGATTTAAAATACAGTAAAACAGTAATATTGTGAAATATTACAAATGTAATGTATTCCTGTGATGCAAAGCTAAATCTTGAGTTTTCAGTGTCAAATGATACAGAAATTGTTCTAATATGCAGATTTTTTTTTTTTGATGGATAAAAAGTTCAAAAGAACAGCATTTATTTGAATAATAAAAAAGCAGACTTTTGTTTCCCACAATCAACATTTTTATTAAAGCCAACATGAAATGACTGAGCAAAAGGTATATTAACAATTGCTAAAAAAGGGAATGTGACAGATTAGATGAACGAATAAAAAAATAAAAAATAGGCTAGGTGTCACGATCCGCTACGGTGCGGGAACACGGAGCAAGGAACGAGGAGACCAAGAGTACAGAAACCAAGGAATTTATTCATTTTCACGGGGAAAATCACACATAGCACTGTAGACAAACAATACCGCACGCTGGAGCACACACAGGGAACCCTATTTATACACAGGAGGAGGGGATGACGAGACACACCTGGGAGAATCGTTCCTCCATTTGGGGACGTGGAGGAACGCACGGGAAAAACAACAAAGCAAAAACTTTCAAAAAACGGAAATCAAAACGGGGAGAGGGGGTGCCACTTACTTTTTAGTCCGGTATTCTGTCACGATCCGCTACGGTGCAGGAGCAAGGAACGAGGAGACCAAGAGGGAGGAGGGGATGACGAGACACACCTGGGAGCAATGAAACATCATGGGAAACACCTGGGACAAATTAAACATGGGAAAGGAAGGCACATGAGGAAAACAACCACAAAACACGGAACAGAGTCTGACACTAGGGTGATGAGCAAAGGCATTATAGTTTTTTTTCTGTTTTATATATGTCTACAGTGCATATACAGTTCATGTTTAAAGAATCTACTATATCCTTTCATTTTACATTTTAAACCAACTTCATCCTTTATTACACAATTTGAATTATTAAAAGGTTAGTTCACCCAAAAAGCAAAGATAAATCAAGCGTAGCGTTAGTTCTGGCAGGTCACGTTAGTCAAGCTCGCATCAGCTGACCTTCAGCTGATCCCCATCAACCTATGGGAATACGACACCTATCTAAGCATTCATATATAAGGTCCCTCAGTATTATCAGCAGTTTTCGCATTGCTCAATAGCTAATTGCCCTCCTCCATCCCCAGCTCCTCCTCTGTCAGTCAGGATTCAGCCTTCTGATTCTCCTTGAATCAGACTAATTCTAAAATGTGTACATAACATTATTGAACTTTAACGATATCTGCAATACATTTATGTTGGTTCTGTTCTGTTTACCCTGGGGGGTTATTGCTGCTCTCCCTGCTCTCATCCATGCTAGGCTGCATGGAGGCGCAGGGAGTTCTTGCCCAGAACAGAACCATAACGCCAATCCAAACTGTATGCTAATTGTCAATCATCTTTGACGATAGTGGTTCTGACAGAATTTCACTTTATTTGTGTGACTTTATTTCGTGAAACAGAAAATGGAGATGTTTAGCATCATTCACTTTCATTGCATCTTTTTTTCCCTTACAATAAAAATGAATTATGACTGAGATTTTCATAACATTCTCCCTTTTGCGTGTTACTTTCTCACTTTTTGCATCCAGGTTCTTTGGTTAAAGCACACTCTCTGAACAGAGACTAATGATGCATGTGTTACTGAGGAACCTGCTGAAGTGCAGGTCGCTTTGGTCAAAGTGAAGGTGTCATGGGGTAGCTGGTGGGACAAGCGGTTCAGCCATTATGTCAATCCACACACTAACAATCCCAAGAAACTCCAAAATGATGTGACAGATCAGTTATGACTGAATTAAGGAACAACAGCTCTGAATTAAGCTCAACAGCTCTTCTGGAAGCACTGAAATCGACACGCACACTGTTTGAAACCAAACTCTTTGTTGTATTGATGTTGGATCTCATCAAAGCACATTATTTTGGTCTTCCAGTGTAGGATCCATCCAGAATCTGAGCATCACGGTATGTAACATCCTCACTACTTGCGCCACCGCACTCATCTGTAAGGAATGAGACAGTTATTTGTAAAAACACATGTTTAGTTAGATATGTAAATGCAGACATATTGACTTTTATTGTTTTTATACAGTACACAGCTGATCATACTGTAAATAATATTACAACCTAGCTAAGGTGCATTATACTGCTGAAAGAGGCCACAGCCACCAGGGAATACCATTTACATGAAAGGGTGTACATGGTCTGCAACAATGCTTAGGTAGGTGGTACGTGTCAAAGTAACATCCACATGGATGGCAGGACTCAAGGTTTCCAAGAAGAACATTGCCCAAAGCATCACACTGCCTCCGGCGGCTTGTCCACCTTCTTCCATTGCTCAGTGGTCCAGTTCTGATGCTCACGTGCCCACTGTTGCCGCTTTCGGCGGTGGACAGGGGTCAGCATGGGCACCCTGACTGGTCTGCGGCTATGCAGCCCCATACGCAACAAACTGCGATGCATTGTGTATTCTGACACCTTTCAATCAAAACCAGCATTAACTTCTTGAGCAATTTGAGTAGCACTTCTGTTGGATCTGACTACACAGGCCAGCCTTCGCTCCCCACGTGCATCAATGAGCCTTGGCTGCCTGTTCACCGCTGTTTCTTCCTTGGACCACTTTTGACAGATTCGGACCACTTAACACCCCACAAGAGCTGCAGTTTTGGAGATGCTCTGTCCCAGTCGTCTAGCCATCACAATTTGGCCCTTGTCAAACTCGCTCATATCCTTACACTTGCCCATTTTTCCTGCTTCTAACACATCGACTTTGAGGAAAAAATGTTCACTTGCTGCCTAATACATCCCACCCACTAACAGGTGCCGTGATGAAGAGATAATCAGTGTTATTCACTTCACCTGTCAGTGGTCATAATGTTATGCCTGATCGGTGTACATATATACATTAAACAAGGGTTTTTTTAACTTTTTGATACCACGGACCCCTTAATATGACTCCCTTCACAAGTGACCCCTTATAATAGCAGCTATATAGATATAAAGACCCACTGATGTAGTGAAAAACAAAAAAAATACAAATGAATGGGGGGGATGGGGGGGATTATACATTTACGTACTGAGTAATGTTAATTAACAGCATGTACTAACTAGGGTTAGGATTCAAGAGTTTGGTTCAAGGCTATTGCATTGTGCATGATTTACCGACATTACTATAGTCAGTACATGTTACATATGTAACAAAAACACAGTAAAATAAAGTGTTACTAAAACTACTGTCACTATTTAAAGTATCTTATGCTCACCAAAGCTGCATTTATTCGATTAAAAAATGCAGTGAAACAGTAATATTGTGAAATATTATTACAATTGTTATTCGATTAAAAAATGCAGTAAAACAGTAATATTGTGAAATATTATTACAATTTAAAATAACTGTTTTCTATCTGAGTAATTTCAAAAGTAATTAATTCCTGCAATGGCAAAGCTAATTCCCTTTCAAGGGAACTTCGAACTGCGTCCTCTAGGGGTCGCTATGGGGAACGTCTCGGGAACGCCTCGTCGTGACCCGTGTCTGAAGCATACATTGAAAAAACACCAACTCGTTGGCCGGCGACAGCCATGACGTCACTACTGGTGCGACTATAGTATAAATAGGTGCCGGGAGAACACATCATCCTCTTCTTCGTCTTCACTGACTCTTTTGTTTGAAGCGTGCATTTCTGTGGTAAGAGCGATCTCTATTTATATCATTATGGTGAGCACTAGCAAAGTGTTTAGAGGATGTGTGCATCCGTGTCGTCGTTATTTGACATCTGATGACACACACACAATCTATGCGTTGTTTGTTTGGGCGAAGAGTACGCACGCGATGTCCTTGAAGGGGCAATCGGCGTGCAATGCGAGCATTTTCCAATGAAAAAGCTCTGCTCTCGTTTGTCTCTCTTTTCGAGGAAAGAGGGGCAGCTATCTGCTTCCTGCGATTCAGGCCCCGCCGCTGCTGAGGCACGGAGGAGAATAAGCTCGTGGGGATCGCACGCTCGTGGATCTGGCAGATGAGTTTAAAGAGGGGTTTTTCCTCTCGCAATCGTCGGCTGTGGACGAGAGTGAGCCGCTGGAGGATGATGTTATTTCATTAACATCAT